GTCCCACATTGGAAGAGGAGTAATATCTCCTTGTAGTGTATAGCTATAAATAGGGACCTCTTGTATCGTATTTATCATCCAATATCAATAACATATTTTCTCCCGTGCCTTCTCACAGCTTGTTTGTCTTTTACATTAGTTATTCATACCATATGGATAGTGAAATACCTACCAACCTAGTACTTCCAGTGTTGAATATTTAGGATTTCTTAGCGAAGAATGAGTAATAGTTGCCTATCAGAAAAGTAAAATAAGTAAAATGTATGGTTGGTGATATTCAACAATTACTAATACATTATTTCATCTTCCTGCTATTGAATTTCAGTGGATTCCTGAGTTGAGGCATTATGCTCCTGGAGTTCCAAACTTCCAATCATTCTTGTTGGAACAAAGCTAGGTTAGTATCCTAATTAATCATGTTTGATTGTTAATTCAACAACTGATTGATTTCTTCTTATCTAATATCACTAGTTGGTCAGAATGATGGTGTCTTTTTATCTGTCTTTACATTATTTTTGGTCTACTTATCTTCATTTCCTGAGCTATGATTAATCCTCTCTTTGGAAATTTTGCCTTTTATATTTGGCCGAGCCATGAAATTTCAGTCTATCCTTGAAGAGAGTTTATTTTTGTGCTGGGTCATGAATCACTATGTCAAAAGTTTTGCAGAGCTGTTTTTTGGGGGAAAAAAGAGCTCTGTAGGAAGTTCCAGGTCACATAAGTTCCTTATTTGGCAAGTCAAAAGCAATTGTGATATTGCTGCTATTCCCTAGAATTGTGGTTGGGGTCATAAAAGATGGAACGAATGACGCCTTTCATCGTCGGTTGTATATATTTGTCTTTATGGCATGAGTAGTTAGCATGTGCATGCTCTTACTGCACCTTGTTTTCTCCTTCTTGAGAGGTTGAGCCTATTAAGCGTCGATACTGCAGCTACTTTTGGTAACACACCGGTCTGGAAAGCATGACAATGTGATTATTTATCGACCATTTAGCTCGAGCAGTTCTTATGAATGAAAACATTTCAGGAGTTATAGGCAGTTTATTCATGTACCAAAACAGATAGCCGATGTGATAAATGCTGCTGTTTACTGGCTGAACCACCACCAACATAGCCAGTATATTCCCACAAGTGGGGTTTTGGGAGGATAGTGTGTACGCAGACCTTACCCCTACCTTGTGCAGGTAGAGAGGTTGCTTCTGATAGTACCAAAACAGATAGCCGATGTGATAAATGCTGCTGTTTACTGGCTGAACCACCACCAACATAGCCAGTATATTCCCACAAGTGGGGTTTTGGGAGGGTAGTGTGTACGCAGACCTTACCCCTACCTTGTGCAGGTAGAGTGGTTGCTTCTGATAGTCCCTCGACACAGGTAAGCACAGTATCAGCAGTAAATATCTGCTGAACCATGATACTAAATCATTTCATTCAGTAGAGTGCTGAATGAACATGAACATGTAGGACGCAAGTACATTGGTTGAAATTCAGATGCCTTTTAACTGGATTAACCCTGAAGAACTATTTATGGTGTCAGCAGATGAAAAAATGTGAATCATATATGGCTAGGCAGAGAGGATATTGTGATTCATGGAAAAACTTCTACAACTTTTGGATCCCAGATAATCACTTTTTCAGTAACTTAGGTTGTTATGTTGTCAAATTGCTGGAGAAGTGACCTGTTGCATACTGAGATTTGAGATAGACGAGAAAGAAGTATTTGTTCAAAGTTTCGTTTCTCATTTAAAGAAATGCAGGGTGCCCAATTGTTTTATAGTTTTGAATTGCTTACTATCCTAACTTTTGAATGGAGTTATTATAAGGGGAGTCATAGTTCTCCTAGCTAATCACATGTATTGGAATTGTAATATATCTTCCATGAAAATATTAGTGCCAGACACTTTTCTAAGTCCTAGCCTGAACTTTGAAATGGAAGTCCTGAATGAACTTACAGTGTTGTTTACTGTATGTGTTGAAATTCAAATGTACTGCTGTTGAATTTAAAAGTTCACAAACTATTCTAAGCCTAAATCGTGAAGTATATATTTTCTGGACATTACATCCAAGTACATTAAGAACTTCTTTGTCTACTGTCTACCTTTCCCGTATGCTGTTTAGACAATACCTTCAGTTTTCTGGCCTGCTCAGTTTAAACCTTTCCTTCCGCGAAGTTCAGCTTAGATGACTCCAATTCCTAGTTTCTAATTGCCTCCTCTATGCTTTTTCTCTTCTAATCCATGTTCCTTAGTCTAATACTGTTGACGTGCTTCCATTAGATCTCCGAGAGGATAAGCAATTCTTCCTGGACCATCTAGGTGCTGTTCCACTTACCACAGCTGAGGTACACTACTTTTTTACATATGTGGTTTTAGACCACAATGTGGCCTTTTTGTTGTGGATTAAATTTTTAAGGGGGGCTTAGCTCCTCCAGCAGAACCTTACGACATACTTCTTTTTAAGGGTGAGGAGCTGAGAAAAGTCGATTGGTGCTTCCGCTTACATTGAATATAGTGCAAAAACACAACAGGTGCTTTTCTAATTCAAAGATGACTACGTGGTTAAGTTATCAAGCTATCTAATTATGCATTTCTATTGCCAAAACTGCAGAATCTGAAGGCTGTTTTTGATGCCGTCATTAAGGTGGTTCTACAACCACCCAAACAAAAGAAGAAAAAGGAGAGAAAGGGTCAGAAAGCCTGCTCTATCTTGTGATTGCTGAAATAATAGACAAGTGATGGAGATGTAGATTGTTGTCAATGTCTTCCAAGTTCAAAGAATGCAGTGTAAGGTTCAACGTTGGTAGTCCTGACTGACTATGATAGAAAAGCATGAATCTGCCTTGTCCGTAACATTGTAGGCCAAGATGTATATTTGTGATCCGCATATGGTTGGGGATACAGATGTGCAAAATTCTCTGTTTCGCGTTGATTCTGTGTAATATATTATGTAACACTTGTGTGATGATTCCTTGAATTTGCATCTACTGTGTGTTGTTAAAATGTAACCGAACATACTGATTTAGATTGTCCAAGAAGTTGAATTTGCTATGTCATAAAGATAGTGGCGTGAATACTCCTTGCACAGAGATTTTGCCCTATGGTTTTGTGAATTGTGCTTTGTGTATATTATTGCAGTTCGAAACTACTAATTCTGTCTAAATTCATGCTTTCATTCCATTGAATTGAATAAAACTGATTTATCTATATATCTTGGGCTGATCAAGGTGACGATGCGTCCTTGGGCTTGACTTAGAGTTGTCTAACTCAAAGAGTCAGGGTTGGTAATATGAATCATCCATATTCATTCTGCTCCATTTCTTCTTCAAAAGTGTCATTGAAGACAGTTAGGATTTTCTCAAAAGCCAAACTTTTAAAAATTTCACCTCTTAAATAGAGATACAAGTTTCTAACTATTCTAAAAGCATGGCGGTCCAACGAATTTTGTGGCCTAAAGTCAAATTTAATGAGGGGTTTTTAAATTATTTTGTTTATTTGAAGTTTATTTTTCTAGCTCTTTTTAGATGCAAAGTAATTAATAATTTTCTTATAATTAATTTCTCTTGATAAGTCTTTCTCAATTGACAATATAACTAATCTATTTAACCTTGGGTAACATTTTATCAGTTTTAATCTTGAAAAACTTCGTTCCGTTGAAGCAATGGTAACATGAGTTATTAACATTATTCTATAAGGAATATAGACATTTGGAAAATAATTAAATCTTTTTTATTTGATTGAGTAATGTTATCTTCTAATTGTACTATTTTTCTTAACACTTTTAATTCAGAGAATAAATCTAAATGGGCTTTTTTAACTTTTATCTCGCGCCAGAAACTATTTATATTTGGTAGCTGAAAAAGTGTACAATTTTTGTATATACAAAATGTATATATATACAAAAAGTATACAAAACATATACATTTTATCTGCTATTGTTTTGAGAGCGGCTATATAGTGTCATTTTTCCAATCTAAATCATCAGTATCGAATTGATTATTATGTTTTAAGGAACATTCAAGATTAAGACTATTTTTTTCAAATTTTCATCATCTAGCGATCTCAATTTTTTATTGCTAAATAGAAAACCAAAAATA